CTCACACTCCCTGCTGAATTCTGTCACAGGTGGAAGCCAGAGTTCCACAGTAGGCAGAGGGAATCAAAACCCCTCCATGTGGGCCCAGGCATCAGCACTGTCAGAAAGTACCATAGGGGACCCTCGTGGCAGCCAGCCGTGAGAACCACCATGTCACGGGACAAGCTTAACACTGCTTCAGAGGCTTTTGAACTTGCAGGATACCGGAAGCCATTAGGCAGTAAACAGTGGCTATCTGGGACACTCACAACCACAAGCACTGCAGATAAATAAAGTTTTCCGGAGAGCAGAATATGTAACTCTTAAAGAACAAAAATGTTTAAAGAGAGAAATTTTTCTAAATTGCATTAAATAAATACTATCTTTTTATTGATGGCTCAGATCACTAGGATAAATATCCATCATACACCATACACTCTAACTACATTATTTTATGATACAGGGTTAAAATGGATTGTTGAGCCTTACATTGACCTGCATTGACTTTTTAAAAAATACTCCAGTCTGCTATTTTTAGTTTTTCTGTTTTCTCCCTTGAAGGTACAATGTCAGCTACACTTGTTAGTGATGGAAATATCCCACAGCAGCCACTATTAATTGCTTCTCTGATAGCCATTCCCCCAACTCCTTACTAACAGAAACATAATTTTGTCAGAGCAACAGTGTTTAGACCAGCCAAAAGCATTTCCCCAGAATACCCATTTCTCCAAAATACTCACTTCCACCTGTGCCACTAAGAGCACAGGTCAGCATGCATTTCAGGGAGAGCTTATGTTTTCCAGCTACAGACCAATTTCCTTTTCTTGTCTGCCTAGGATAGGAATGTGAGCTTGGAGGAAGAGCATGAGATGCCTTGCAACTCTGAGGTCATAAGCATGTGTATGATAATCTGTATGGCTAAAGAATATTGGGTGGAAAAATAGGAAAGTATTTGGGTCCCCAGTCCACTTCTGAGCTCCTGTGCCAGATCTGGTCTGCCTACCTTTGGGCTTCTGAGTATATGAGAACAAATAAACCCTTATCTGTTTAATTCATAGTTGGCTGGAGTTTGATATGCACAGCCAAAACACATTCATAATTGATACACCACCCTCATAATTTGCTAACTTTAATCTTCCAAAAGCTTAAACACCAAATAGCCAAGCATATTAAAGAGCAAGGGGAAAGAATCTCTATGTGAAATCATGGAGAGCTCTCAGGAATAAATCAGTGCATGAACTTCATGAGATCATCTTGTCTGCTTAGGTCTTTCTTCTTCCATGGTTCTGAGATGGTTAAGTCAATGTATAAAGGAACACCTGGAACCCATTTTTAGTCCTGATTTTTCAGACTGAGAATGATATAACAGCCTAGAGAAGGCAGAGAAGAACCAACATTGCCAGATGGAGGGAGGAAACCAGGGATGGGAATAGTGTCAGGATCAGTTTCTTGCCTAATAGACAAAGGCTGATAAAGGATTTGATTGAAATGCGTAAAAGCATAACTGGTGTAGATAAGGTAAACTGAAAGCTATTCAAAATAGGGAAGGCAGGGAGTGTCTTTCATACTACTTAAATAAATATATGACAAAAGGGCAGTAAATAATTTAAAGAATAGATAATAAAGTTAAAATTTACTTCCCATAACTGGCAAGTATAAATAGATTTTTTTTTTTAACGTATGGAAAATTTATAAAATCAGAGGCATTAAAGTAGAACATAAGAAGCTGGGACATCCTTTGAGATTGTTTAGCAGGACACACAGTGAGCCTTCTCATGACTTATCATCTCACATCCCCTGACAGGAAACCATCAACACAGACATTCAATTCCTACTTTCATCTAGTATGGGATTTTGTACTGGTTTTTCACACACTACACCTGAACAAGTGTGGATCTGTATTACATAGTGGATGTGTACCCACTGTTAAGGTTTCACAGAGGCATTAAAAATGTACGTATCCACTGTAACAATCTATATTCTGACATAAGGATATACTGTTTATTAAACCATGAACCATATAAATGGAAGAAGAGGATTGAGAGAGGGGAAATGGATAAACAGAAACAGTGTTAACAGGCAAACCTATCTCCATGTTTGCTTCTGAAATTTTTCTAAAATAATAAAGAATTAAGTCTTTATTAAATAAATAATGCTAAAGAGAACATGACTTTAATTGTACAAAATATGGTGATTAGGTCTTACTGATAGAGTTAACTTAGTTGCGAAGAGCCTTACAATTTCAACAGGAGCAATGCTTCGCACCAGCTGCTGGAGGAGTGTAGCTTCACAGTAAGGAAATTTTCTGATACTTTCTCTAATGATCTTTTCTTGATATATTGGAAAGCCATCAGAAGGTCGGCCTTTTAACAAGCTGAAAGATATTTTTTAAAAAGTAACTAGAGTTACTTTTTAAAGGAGTTGAATCACTAAGCATTTCCTCCCAGCTGAACCCATGAACTTTGAGTAGTTTCTTCTTTGCTGCGTAAGATTTTCATTGGGTCTTCACATCATGAGGATAGACTCAATTCAGATTGCTGCTCTACCTGCACATTAGGCTAGGCCTTATCAGGTTTAGGGGCTCAGAGATGTATTTATAAAAGTAACCCCTGACATAAAACATACTAAACACTGTTATCAGATTAGCTAGTTACTTATTACCATGTCAGTTATTTGTACGAAGAATAAAAACTCTCATTGAGTCACACCCTTCTGACTTAGTTCTCTTTTCTTAGTAAAACTATTGGAGAATTTGACCCCCAGGGGTCAGAGAACAAGGGTAACACACAGCTCTCCTGGGTACAGAAACAGAGATACATTGAGCGCCATTGTGAATCCAGAGCAGCAATTATGGCATAAGCACACCTATCCTCAAATTTGGACTTGGGCTGCTTTCTAGCTGTATGATTTTACACATGATATTTAACCTCTCCAAACTTCAGATTTCTCACCTATAACTGGGGATAACAAAAGCACTGTTGTAAAGAGTATAGAATGGAATAATCAATTTAGTTATGAGTGCCCCTTGTTTCTTACAGATGAAATGTGATCTCAACATTAACATCTGCTGCTAAAATGTTTAATTTTTAAATCCATAATGAGATCTCATATAATGGAACATTATCCATTTGAGTGTACTTTATACATGACATGGGAAAAAACAGTACCTTTTGATCAGAGTGTCCAATTTATTCTCTCCGTCTTTTAAGAAGTTAATACATTTCTGAAAGATACAGCTGATGTAATGCATTTTCATAGCCAGTACTTCATTCATGTCTCTTTGCTTCATACATTTCTCACAAATCAAATCCATCACCTTGTAGCATTTATTCAGAGCTGCTTCTTCTGCCAGCAGAGGATTCTCATTTATAAGCATCACAATCTAGAAGAAATCCCAGTGAGCTTAGAAATTCCTTGAGAGATTTTCCATGTACAAATAAGGTAGTCAGTTTTAATCACCAAATAGTCTTTCTTATGGTCACATATTTACTGTGTTAATTTAAATTAGAATGCAAATTGCCACTGATCAACTTGTAAAACTAATACAGAAGGACCCTGACATTATGGAATCTCTTGAATTCTGTGTATCAGTTATCGAGTGATTTGCCATCCAGCTAAACTCGGGTGTTAGTTGGCCAGCA